AGCTATGTTTTCATTATTAATTATTATTATTATAAAATTATATTTTTTTAATATTAATAAAAATTAAATTCATCACTTAACTAATATTAACTTCATTAACATTTTTAAGAAGTAAAAAAAAACTTCCAACCATCTCTAAGCTTATGTTTTTAAAATTCCTTTTCTGTATATTTTTTATTATCACAATATTGTTTTTTATAGATAAAACATAATACAATTTAAACTAAATTATATTTGAGGTTTGAATAAAAAACAACGAGTTGTTATCTGAATTTTTAAAGATTGTTGAAAAACTGATTAAATTATTATTTGAATATTCAAAAAAATTTAAATAATAATTGATTAGTTACTTTTTAAGTTTTAAAGTCGAAAAAAATGATGAATTATTTTCTAAACTTTTAAAGTTGAAGAAAGATTAATGAGATTCTATTTTTAAAGTTTTTATTTGATTTTTATATAGATAAACCATACGACTATATACATATGATTAAAATTTGTAAAATTACAAAATAAATGATATATTATCTTTTATAAATAATAAAGCATATTGTCTTTCCTATTTATTGGTTTTAAATTTGATTAATATAATACAAATAAAAATTATAATTATTATACATTAATAATTATTATTATCTATTAATTAAAAAATAAAATAAATATAAAAGAGAGAGGGGACATAAGAGAGAAATCACTTTTCAAATTTCTAGGTTATTTAATATTGTATACTAAAATCACAAAGGTGGTGTCCGATTGGTTTGAGATTGACTCAAAGGTCAAAAGTACCTGCAGGTCCCAGGTTCAAATCCAAGAAGAARTAAAAATCCTCTTGTGGCCACGGAGGTTCAAATGCGGTGACTCCGGACTATCTGCAAAGCAGGTGATCGTCCTAGGGTTAGTCAGCTCGCATAGCAGGTAGGATATCTAGACTAATAAAAAAAAATTGTGTACCAGGTTCTTTTTGAAATAACAAACATCATTTTCAAACGTCTTGCCATCATGCCATAATATATTGACACCATTTTAGTTATTAAGTCTATGATCAATTTGCAGGGCATAATTGAGCCATAAGCAGTCGAAAAGATGAGCACAACAACTACTGGCTTATCTCCAAGACACGATCCAAATGYCGTAAGCCACCAGCAGCAGCAGGAGGGAACGTCGTCCATTTCGAATAACCAGCAGCAACCACCACCGATCCCACCATCGTTACCACCTGCACGATTAACTGCTTCACAAAGTTTTATAAAAACTGCTCATCCTCTTGATCATCTACTTGTTGGTGGTTACTTCTATCTTATATATTCTTACAACTTACAAGCCTCTATTGCTATGTTTTACATGTTATGCCTGGATGAATACAACATTGGCGTTTAACTTTTGGAATAATTTTGTAGGAAGTAGAGAAGATTACATCATCTGTGTTCCGTTATACGAAGCTTCGATTAATGGAGATTGGGAAGCTGCAAATCGCATCCTTGACCGAAGAGAGCTTGTACGATTTAGTATCACTGAAAATTATGAAACTGCACTTCACATTGCCGCATCTGCCCAAAGTATCGAGTTCGTGGAAAAGCTTGTGAACTTGATGGAGAAGGAGGACCTGGAACTAAAAAACAGAAGTGGAAACACAGCCTTCTGCTTGGCAGCTGCAGCTGGAAATACAAAAATGCTTGAGATTATGGTGAACAAGAATCGGGGATTACTAACAATCCCAGGAAGTCAAGGAATGATGCCACTCTACATGGCTGCGTTATTTGGATACCATGACACCGTGAAATATTTGTATGATAAATCTCAAAAAATGAAGGATGATTCTTGGACACCTAAGAATCGAGGTTGGGTTCTATTGAAATGCATCGAGGCTGATCATTTTGGTAAGTATTAATTTACTACGACGTAGAGTAGTTGCATTTTTTTCGCTTGATTCATCGTAGTTTATGTACTTTTCTAACTACATAAGCTAGCTAGATGTGAAAGTCTATGTCTTAATATTGTTGGAGTCTCACCATTTCTCTCCTCAATGACTCTTTGAAATGTAATATAACGGAGTTCCACATATTCACACATAGTATTAGGTGTTACCAATCAATGGACTCGACACTTTAGGATAATCTGTGCCTATTTAGCCTTCGTTGGAGCGGGCATGTTGGTGTCCCACATCTCCGAACAATTTTTCTTCGGTATATGTTAGAACCTTTCTTATCATAACTAATTAGCAGGGTTCCATATGTTCTTTTGTTCACAAATACATGCTATAACTCACCAAATGAATTCAAATCTTTTGTAGATATCGCACTAAATATACTGGAAGATTGCCCAGAGCTTGCACGAACTGACGGTGTACTTGGAGTTTTGGCTCGAAAACCTTATGCATTTAATGATATAAAACCACATTTTTCCTCGAAAATCATCAACGGGAGTGAGTATATAGTCTTCAAACATCTATAAATATGCATACATATCGCCTTTTGGTTAATCTACTTGGGTTTTTTTCCATCATATTTTCAGTTTTATCAGTAGTTCAATGGAGGGTACCTGGAACTTCAGTAAAGGAAAGTGAAGCCATGAAATTACTGAACATAATTTGGAAAAATATTATGAAAATGCCTAAGGTCGATATTGATAACTTACTGAGAGGCCCCTATGACAAAATTATCAAGAATGGAAAACTAGTCTTGAATATGAAGGGTGGAAAGCCGACCTACTCTTCYCGAATATTATTCGTTGCTGCGGAAATGGGAAACGTCAAATTTGTGGTGGAGCTCATTCGTCAATGTCCTGATCTTATATGGAAGCTGAATGATAATAACCAGAGTATATTTCACATTGCTGTCGCTCATCGTCATGAGAATATCTACAACTTGTTGTATGAGATAGGATCAATGAAGGAKATGATAACACCTCTGAAAGACTCTGCAGGAAATACTATGTTGCATTTAGTTGGACAAAATGCTAAGAAAAACCGACTTCAGGATGTGTCAGGAGTCACCTTCCAAATGCAACGAGAATTACTATGGTTCAAGGTAATTAAATCTCTTTTTCTTAGATCAACTAATGGATGAATCATTGTTGCATAAAAGTTAGAGGGCTTTAAGGATTTTGAAATGTTGGTAATGGAGTATCTACTGTATCTTAATGAGCTGTATGTTGCAGGAAGTAGAGGCTATGATCCCTCCTTCTTACAGAGAAAGGAGGAATGCAGAGGGCCTAACACCATATGAATTATTCACTAGGGAGCATAAAGAACTGGTTTCCAAAGGCGAAGAATGGATGAAAGGAACAGCTAACCAATTCATGGTGGTCGCTGCACTTATCGCAACCATTGTATTTGCGGTTGCCTTTTCAATTCCAGGTGGATACGACCAAGATAATGGATTTCCTACGTTTCTCCGAAAAGAGATTTTCATAGCGTTTGTCATTTCAGACGCTATTTCTTTGATCTTCTCTTCAGCGTCAATCCTCATGTTCTTATCCATCCTCACATCTCGTTATGCTGAACAAGATTTCTTGGAATCATTACCTCAGAAACTGATGATAGGTCTAGCAACACTTTTCCTCTCAATAATGACCATGATGATCGCGTTCAGTTTCAGCTTTTTCGTGCTTTACCATAACAAGTTGATTTGGGTGCCAATCGTTATTAATGTAGTTGCTGTTGTACCTGTCGTTTTATATGCTAAACTGCAATATCCTCTTTTGATGGACGTGTATCGCTCCATATATGGTTCCAGGTATATCTTTAAGCCCAAGAAACGTATGCTTTACTACAAAAACCCGAAGTTGTAGTTGTTGTCCTTGTTTACGGTTTTGAATACAAAGTTCCATTTGAACCTTTTTATGGCTATTTATTAAACAACGATAATGTTTGTGGTCTTCTTTTCCCTTGTAAAGTTCATAAAGATTTTTGTTGCTGTTGTTTCGTAGTGCACGATTGTACGGACTGAAATCTTTGCATTCCACTTTGCATAATTGCATCCAACAATATGTTGGCTCTTTTAATATCTCGATATAGCACTCTTTGCATGGTTCCATGGGGATTGTGTAGGTACTCTAATCCACGTGCTGCCCCAATGCAGATGCGAAGACGGTCAATCCATGAGAACTTATTGTTATTAAGATACTTGTCAAGACTTTCGTTTGGTAGATTCTCATACACAAGGAGATTCTCCCCAACATTGTCARAAAAGCCTAAAAGAGAGACGAGATTTTCATGCGTATAACAAGAAAGCATCACGATCTCTTTCCAAAACTCAGCATCTCCTTGTCCAAATCTTCGATCTAAGCGCTTGACCGCAAGTGTGTATAGCTTGAGAATTATCAATTAAGGAGGTGCAGATCGATGTTTGTTTCTGGATAGCAATTAAGCTGCTGATGGTTGATGGAGGTATTTATCATAAACGAGAAGCATGCATTGGTGATCAATTAAGGACGACTGATTCCTCTAATACTTTAYTTTGTTTAATACCATGACCCATTCTTGACATTATCTGTATAGTAAGCTTGCATGGTGATTAACTGAAGTTTGACAAACTTCAATCAATCGTCATGCAAGCTTGCTGTACAGATCATAGCTAGAGAAAGGAAAAAGGAAGAAATCAGAAACGGTTGTAATGGAGTTTGTTTAATAGACATTAGTGATCAAGTGGCTCAATCTAGAAGACGATTTGATTAATTAACTGAAACCATATAACTCCAAATCGATTAAACCAAACACAACGTGATTCAGTTATCGGGTAGTTTGGAGAAAGTTGAGAACTGGTTAGTCCGAAACCCAATTAAACGGACCGAATAACACCTRACATTCTACATATTTAGAGTAACCTATAAAAATTATGGTAATAGTTTTTGCGTCTTCCCGATTATGTTATCCATATATATGTTTACAAAAAAAATTATAATATCATTTTTATTGAATATAATAATAATATAATAATGGGCAAATTGCATGAAAAAATAGCGTACTTTAACTTGATTCATGTTTTAGGTAACGTACTTTCAAAACTTTCATTTTGGTACCTAACATGTAAAGTTTTCGGTTGAATTCCTTTCTTTTCTTCCAAGTATGAAACCTACATGACTTAATAAGCTGTTTGCACAAGTCGCGTAGGAAGTCGCCTTCAATCTCGCTTACGAGAGTTGAGTGCAACAGGTTTATAATTTCTTTTTTGTATATGTTACGTTGGTACTSTTAAATGATAGAATATTTATATCGTATAGTTTGTGAAAAATAGAAAAACAGAGCATTACAGGACCATTTCCAACACAAAATGTTCAAATACGTCTCGTAACTTAAATCCGAGGCAAAATAAGACAAGAAATTGAATATAGTATCAAACACAAAGTTTAAAGAACCATAGAAGTAGCAGTAGATAGTTTAGAAGGTAGAACCATCATTGTGAACAGCAGCAACATAGCACATCTCTCCTGCTGCATAGTGAAAAATAGGGGAAAGGTAAGATGCAACAGAAACTAATCTAACAAGCATTACTCATTTGTACGCTAAGAGTCTTTTATGCCACTGTTTTGGAGCTTGTTATAACCCGTATAAAGACTTAACAGATCTGCAAACGTTGTTTTCTTGTATGGGTACTATGAACCCTTTAGGTTGCTCCATATAAACTTCCTTGTTTAGATATTCATTTTGAAAGGTTGTCTTCACATTCATTTGATGAACGTATGAACCTTTCAGGACCGCAATTGCTATGAGTGAACTAATCCTAGAAACGGGGCCATTTGGTTTCAAGATAGTTTATCTAAAAGGGTGTTTTAGACATTTGACTAAGAGCATGTTTGTTAGCAGCTTAATGAATTAATAGGACTCACAGCTTATTTGGTCCGCGATACATGATTGTTTGGTATTGGCTTAATGATATAGAAAGTGGCTTATTCAATAAGCTTTTAAGGGGGAGATTTATGCAGAAAGCCAAAAAAAACTCCAAACCTACCCCCTTCCAATTAAAAAACATGCTCTTTTCATCTATGAAAAAACCTTCTAAATCTATACAGACTGATTTATCCATGCAAACAACTTTATCCATACAAGACTTAACGGGAAACCAACCAAACAGCCCCTAATAGTCGGATGTTGCAATTTCACAAATGGATAGAATATATAGCAACTTCAATATGAGAAGGTTGTGATGAACAGAGTACAACCACATATAAATACGAGTCAGAGGCTTACCAAAGCTCATAGATAAGCAGAAAACATACCAACTAGGAGCATTTCTTCGTTGGAGCGTAGTATTTCCCCTTCAGTTTTCTCGCGGTTGTGAAATTGTGGCAACTACAGAATTAAATGTTTTATTAAGTAGATAACAACAATTACTATTAACAATATAGCCGTATATGAGAACCAAAAGCATATACACACGCATGCAAAGTGATCAACAAAGAACGATCTATGAATATATACAAAAACAAGCATCAACTATCAGCAGTTACTACAACATTCACACATGAATAACTGTATCAAGTTATAAGAATGTGCTTAAAATATGTATTTTTTGTGTTTTCTTGTACCATTTCCATTGATGAAAGCTTTATCCGTCTGCTCAGATTCAAGCCCGGTCTAATCATGTACAGATAGGGACTCATGTTGAATCTCAGCCATTGGTTTACTTATCAAACGATTTTAGACGAGTTTGACCGAAAAATGAGAGAGAAAGAGAGGGAGTTCTCCTTACTTGAGTCTGAAAAAGCCAGTGAAGGTAAATTTAACACCTTTCAAGATGACTCCACAGTTGCCCGCATTATAGCCAATGATTTTTGCATATTTCTTTACCTCCCATGGAAGCAAAGTCACACCGGAGTAAATTCCATCCATGAAAACCATCAAAAATATGTGGTTATCAGTTTCACTGGAAAAATACTCCTCCCAGTTGCATAACCTTTTGCTCAACACTTTCTTGACCTCACCCGGCTTGACTCTAATAATCATCCGATAACGGTCAGGCCGATCAGGTGGAACGAACACCCGAATTTCCATTTCCACATTAGCCCTGTTTTCAAAAGCCGTAAGTCTGGCTCCCATTGCTTCAACTAAAGTGCACCGTGTGCTGTGTGTTAAACTAAATAAGTAACTCAAGGAGGGACAAACAATATGGCCATCACAGGTCGTAATCCATGTATAAATAGTTTATCATTCATTGATGCTTACATCTGCAAGCCAAATGAAGATGCCTCTTTTTTACCAATATTGCTTCATAGGTCCCAAGCCGTATATAATTATTCTATCCATCATTGATGTTCACATTTCGTCGTTTTGTTTGTATCAAGTGTAACTTAAAGTCATAAAAATTTGATAGAAACACAATCAGTATTCTACTTCCTTGGAATCTTCATACGGGGATAATGTATAACGCATATGTGTATACATGTGTGTGTGTGTCTATATACATATATATATATATATATATATATATATATCAGGAAAGGACTGACTTGAGCAAACATAGATCAACATATAATACCCGTCAGATATGTATGTGTGTGTATATATATTAAAGTTTGGGTTAGATTCGGAATTTGACCAAACTTGAGGGGTTAGTTCTGCATAACTCGCTTTAACTTTGCAATTTGGATGATGGGCTTGGGCTTGGGCTTTTGTATTTAAATTAGGGTTTTTTTTTAATTAGGGTTTTTTTTTTAAATTAGGGTTTTCTAATCCTTATATTAAACCTAACCCTAATTCATATTTTAGCCTAACCCTAAACCTAACCCTAATTCATATTTTAGCCTAACCCTAATTCACATTTAAACCTAACCCTAATTCCTCTTATTGTGATAATCGCTAGAGAGAAACCCTAAGAGCTTGGAAGAGTCCATTGATAACCTAGGAGGGAACCCGACGGC